AACTTAGTGCATAAAGATTTTCATTCCGGAAATATAGTTAATCGAAATATGTATAGTTCTTACATTACTGATTTTGGCTTATGTACAAGACTCAAATTCTAAAGAACTTTTTGGTGTGCTTCCTTATATCGCACCAGAAGTATTATATACAGACGGCAAAGAGTACACTCAAAAATCAGATATTTATTCTTTTGGAATAATTATGTCAAAAATTTTTACTGGATATCCTCCATATTATGATGTTCCTCACGACAGAGACCTTGCATTTAAGATTTGCAGCGGTCTCAGACCTGAAATTGGATGCGAAGTCCCCAGACTATTTTTGGATTTGATGAATAAATGCTTGGATGCGGAACCTCAAAACAGGCCAACTGCTGAAGAATTAAAAAATATGTTTGAGAAGTATTATGAAGATATAAAATACGAAGGAACTGAATTATGCAAACAAATTAAGGCAATTAAAAATTTAGCTAAAAATACTTCAATATATAATAATCAAGCAAAATCAACACGAATCAATTATCAGACACACAAACAAGCTATTTATACTAGTCGACTTTTAAAATTTCAAAGCCTCCCTAGACCAGGTAATAAATAATATATGGGTTGCCGTTAGTAGAAACAAGCAAACAGACTTTAAAAAAAATTATCGACTAACTTTCATAGCTCATATTTCAAAAGCTTAATATCTAAACTTTCTTTTGACAGTAAAGTTATTAAATAGCATTAAGGAATATCAATATATTTAAAGATTTCTGCTTGTTTCTATTTACACAACCTATTTCTTTATATTTTAAAAAATTATTAATATGTATCAAATAGAATTTTTTTTTTTTTGATTAAATATTATTAATTAAGCTGTTAATTAAAATTTTGAGTTTATGTGCTAAAGTGTTTTGCGATTCATATTGTGATGATTTTGGTTCTTTTGAAAAAGGAGTTGCTGATCAAATTCCAGTTTCAATTCATATAGTTCCATTGGATTGGATGGTCTATACAAGTAACAGTCAAGGGAACAGCCCAGTCTAGTAACAAACACTGTCTCCAAGATATATCTATTTAATTACTGAAAAATCTTTGCCGCATCAAATCTGAATTGTGTAATCAACATTAACAAATCTTTGCGCAGAGTTTTTTTAATGCATATCTTGAATAAATTTTGTATATCACCTTAGTAATATATTTTGTCTTTCATTGGGAGTTTACCCTTTTAGGTGTTTGTTATTAACTGAAGTTCGATATTTGTATCATCAAAAATTTCTAGTTTCATGATCGTTAATTTACTCAAAGCTTAAATCTACTTTATTTGGTAAATTTCTTTCTACTAAAAAATTGAATTTATTAATTATATGGTTGGTTAGTTAATTACAAACTGTGTTTGGAACTCAACTTTAAATTATTTGTGGACCTGCAACTAAATAAAAAATAAAAAGAAAACTATCTGTGGATATTTTAATTGTGCATATATATATTTAACCAAAATCCAAGCAAATTTGCAAATTTATATAAAGAAATCTGCAATTCAGATTATATATTTTATTGATATGATTATTGGATTTCATTTTAAATATGCGTTTACAAACTTTTCTTGATTAAAAGCAAATAAATAAAGAAATTCTGACAAATCTATTCATAAAAATTTAAACTTTACCTTTAATATATTGTATTTTGTTTGTTTATATGGATTTACCTTTTGATCGCTACATTTTGCTGTATGGATATTGAATTACAAAACGGCAATGACTCAAGAAAAAAAATTGTTAAGCTCGAAACTACTATAGATAGTCAATATATGTATTATCATATCCATGATTTTTAAATGATCATGTTAAAATCTCAAAGTAATATAAGTAGCATAGTCTTTTACCTGCTATATACGCTTCATACATATATGTATACATTTATAGGTTGTGTAATCATCTATTATTTAATCTTAACTCTAGCCAAAATTTTGTAATTCCAGGCAAAATTATACCTGATATACAAGTAACCCACTCACACACCCACCTAAAAATCAGCTGATTTTCATCAGCTCCCTAACCTAACTCTAATGATATTGACCAGAATTGCTTGCCTATAAAATGAGCTTTGGTGAAATAAACTGTCAGTAAAATGAACCAGTAAGTAATTGTCAGTAAAATGCGATATTTATTAAGTAATTGTTGGTGAGTTGATCAGATCCCATTCTACATGCTATATATTCTGTATAATGTAATAAGACATATTATTTTGCTATAATGTCAAATATCAAATCAAATTAAATCAAATTCAAATAAATATTATATTTGATTTGATTAAATTCAAATCTTTTAGATATTTGATTTGAAAAAATCAAATCAAATTCAAATATATTAAATATTTGATTTAATTTGATTTTGTAAAACCCTAGTAGTAGCAAAGCTCCAAAGCTCTCTGTAATGTATAAATATAGACACTTTATATTGTGTCTTTTGAATTAGAGATTGTAACTATAAAGAAAATCTCTATAAAAATACTTATTTGGGTACAATCTCTATTTTGAATTTGAATATAACTAAATAAATGGAAAGTTTTAAAAGTAGATATTAGAGATATTCAAAATTAATAACTATATATTTAATTTTAGTTAATAAGTTAGTTTTGAAATTTTTGAAATTTTATTTAGTTTTAGAGTTATGATATAGTTTTGGGTTATGATATAGTTTTTGGGGTTTTGGTATAGTTTCAGAATTTTGACATAGTTTTGGAGTTTTAAAAACTAGTTTTGGTTTTTAAATCCAATTTTGGTTTCAGTTATTTACTCAATATAGTTTTAGGCAGCATCATTAATCATAGTTAATAGCAGAAAGTGAAATAATGCGAGGAACAAAAATCTGTATTTTCTTAAATAAGAAATATACAGAATGATTGCTAATATAATTAAAAATTTAGTATAAGCAGCTTGGTAAGCAAATCAAAATATAGAAAGAAATAAATCTGGCTACATATTAAGTTTAAGAAATACATCTTGTACTGGTTGAATTAAAGTTGTTAATAATTTTCCTATATTAATTATATTTTCTAATTGCACAATACAACCTTCAATAAAAGAAAATAATAGTAAATTTTTATTTTGAAAAAAATTTAAGTTCCATACAAATTGTTGACTATAATTTTTGATAAATGCTAAATTTATATATATGCATCCATATTCTTGTTGGTCAGTAAGAATTGTTGCAATTTTTTCAACTGAAGATGATGTGTTTTCTTTGTGTTCTTGAATATAAAAATCCTGAATTAGTTGCAAATATTCTTTTATATAAAATATCATTTTATACTACAAATTTCATCATGTTGTATTTGGCTAATATTTTTCTAATTTCTGTTAATAAATTGTGAATCACCTTAAATTACTCAATTGATATCCATGTCTTGCTAAATAAAATAAAAGTATTAGCTGATATTAGTATATTAATGTTTAATAATTTAGTATTATTATTATTATTATACTAACCTAATCAAATTTAAGATATATGCTAAACAAGTTAAATGTAAAACTTGTAGCATAATTGGCTTAAGCACACTTTTTTATATACGATGCTAAATCTGATATACATTACTAAATAGAATATTCTATTCAACTAAAGTACAAACTACTAGCTGTCTAACAGTTAAATTATTAACAAATTCCAAGTAATCTACAACTACTAACTTAGTAATACTATAGTAATTAAACAAAATATTAATAACACTTCATGCTCTACTATCTGTAGTTTAATCAATAATTAATAAAACTTTCTTGCCACTATATATTTGTTTGAGTATAATTAAATAATTCTCAAAAGCACTAGGCAAATATTCATAGTGCAATATACTGAATAGAGAAATAAATTCACCTTCATATAAGTTTTGTCTTAACCATGGTTTAAGTTTATTCACCTTTTCTAAAGAAATATTTGCTTAAACAAATACATGAATTAAATCATTAACTGCAATTTTTTTTAATTCATTTGTATTAATAATAAAGTCTAAAGTAGGTTGTCTTGTCTGTTTTTTTAAAGTTGATGTACTTTTTTTAAGTGATGCCTATTTGTATTAATATAAACTATGAGATTTACTTTATTTTTCCAATTTATAGAATAGTAGCAAAACTGATATAGGCCAGAATTAACTACAAAATTATCTAAAAATTTCTGTACATAAGAATACATTGTAATTTATTTGGGTAGTATTATGTATTTTTAATACAACACTTCTGGTTTAATATAAAGAAGAATATTAAAAAATATCACTATAACTTGGATAGTGGCTTATACAGATTAATATAATATGAAATTTTTTTTTAAAAAAAAAATTATTTCAAATATAGAAACATATTCATAGTTATGTATGATATATTGAATATGAATCTTTTCTTTTCATCTATAGATTTTATACTTAAACTATATAATAACTATTATGTATTATCAGATTTGTTGACCAAATTTGTGTTTCAATCAAATTCGTATATTTTGATCTATCATTTATAACTTGTGATATAGTAATTTTAATTTTAATAATTTTGATACTATTCGAATCCTTATAGTGAGAAGATTTGAATGATATTAAAATTTTTTTTTTTTTTTTTTTTTTTAAGGAGGTCTTTTTCTCAGTTCCTTTATTATTTATTATGTAGGGGTTACAACGTAAGTTTATATAAATTTTTGGGGAAGTGGAGATGGAGCTACTTTACTTTAGACCTTAATCTTAGCTAGGTAGGTCAAAGACCTCTAAACTATGAAGAAAGGATATCGTGAGAGGAAGTGTTAAAACTAATGTATTTATTTATCTATGAGTATAATTTGCTTCTTGTTGATCAGTCCAAGGATATCGAGAAAGATGGTAAGGTTATTGGATTATTATTTAATATTTGTGCTGAATTATTATTTGATGCCGTTATTCTGCTTGGAATCCAGATTTGTTTGTATATTTTTTTTAGTATGTTATGGTGCAATTCGAGAGCTAGACTTATAGCTATTTTCTTATTGCGAGTAGGTACAACAGTCTCTTCTGTAATAATGCCAATAGGAGTCTAATTCTGAATATGGGTTTGGATAAAATTTTGAATAAAATTATCAGTATAAACAAGATATAAGTTGTGTTTTGAGGCTAATTGTGTGAGTGCATTGTTAATAAGTATATGAAGGGAGATACTATTAGTGCTACAGGTTAACCAGTGTGCGTCAGTTTCAATCTCGTTATAGCAATGTTTATAGTAAAGCGATGTGTGGATGTTTGGATAGTATTTAAATAAGTTAAGTTGATTAGGGAGTTTATTCATTAGGATCTTGAATTTGAAGTTTTTTAATTGAGATGTTTTTGGGTCAGTTTGGTGCTGTCGTGGTTTGTCATCAAATCTCAAGTATTGGAAGATCGGTTGCTATTTTGGATTGGGAGTAAGTTGGAGCCAATGTTGAGTGCAGTTTTGCATATACCAGGTATCGATATTGATTGCTGTATGTAGGTGTTTGATAGTAGTTTTTATATTTTCGGACATGAGGTTATTTTTAAATTTTAGAAGATAAGTATTATTAATAAGTGGTAATGGGTCAATCTTTATTTGTCAGATTGGGTCCTGGGGCTGTATTATGCCAGGCTGTTGAGTGTAGTTTGTATTGATTGAGAGGTTTTTTGCAAGAATTGCAGCTCTCAAAGCTATTGTATAACCTATATTGTCACTTTTACATATATAAAAGGGTGCTATTGGTGACATATCTGTAATTGTTGGTATGAGTTTTAGTATAGCTTTTGAGTTGGTATTGAGTTGGATATATGCATCATTAGAAATGATAGTAATTAGTGTGTATAATGCGGTAATGGTGATTTTGGTCGGGCTAGGCCAGTTGTTGTTTTGCATAATGATTCTGGTATGGTGATTGATGAAGGTAATTAGTGCTGTAGGTCCGGTTGGGGTGCTTTTGCTAAGTCTAATTGTGATTTGTATATTGATGTTTTTTGAAGTTGGAAAGTTTAAATAAGTTCCAGATGTCTTTAGCTTGGTTGAGATAGATTTGGGCCATGTTGTATAAGTAGGTGTGATTGCGTGGTATATAATGGTAAGGTGTGATAGTTTTTTCGAGTTTAGGTAGTAAGTTAGATAAATGAGTAAGGTTTCTGTGCCATATATGTTTAGATGATACTTGGATTTTGTAAGTATTTAGCTTAGGTGCCCAAAAGGAGCAGCGAGTATTGTTAGTTGTATAGTTATAGATAGAGCAATGGTTGCAAGGGAAGAGTTTGTTGGAGGTATTTAAGACCCAATATTGTATTTTGAATAAGTTGTGACAGGATGAGATGATTTTTCCAAAAGTATAATATGATGTGATAATCTATTTAGTTAAATTAGTTGACTAGGTCCACGTGAAAGGGTTGGGGTGGGTAAGTGTAAGAGTGGGTGATGCAACTTCACTAATTATGTTTTTTATCGTAGTGAACCATTTAGGTGTATGTCCTCATAGTATTTTTTGGATGTTATGATAGAAGCTTTTCCAATCAAGTGTTTCGGTATTATTGTAATTGGTGAATTGTTCAATTGCATGAATGTTATGCTTGTTAAGTTGGTTCTTAATTCGTGTGTTGTGTTTAATGTTGGGAAGAATAGTGTTAATTGAGGTTCTAGGTGTGGAAAGTAGTATTGGATAGGGGTTAGGTTGGCATATGAATTGTAGTTGTAGTTGGTAAATATTGAGTATAAGGTGAGCAGTAAAGGTTTTTGCTTCGGTGTAGGTGAATTGAGGTAATGCATGTAAAATTGATATGTTAGAGTATGCGTCGTTTTGAAGTTGTTGTAGACGTAATCAAAAGGAAGTAGAGGAGATTGGAGAGTTTAATAAGTTCTCGAGGATTGAGGTGTGATGCGATTGTTGGAGTTGATTAGCATCAATTAGAGTATAGATATGTAGGTAAAAGAGAAGAGAGTTTGGTACCCTCTTAGATAGAGTTGTTTTATATTTTACTGCTGTCGTATAGCGGCAAGTAAGGTATTGCAAGTCTGTAGAGGATAGGTATGTGTTGGTCAGCTAATATCAGAGTCGAGAGAGTAGGACAGTATTGATAATTGTCCGAAGCGAAGTGAAGGACTTACATGTCTATGCTTTTAGTTACCGAAATTCTGTTTTTGATATATTTTAAGTAAATTATCAAAAACATAATTGTTGCATTTTTCGTCTGTAATGCCACGTCTCTAAAATTGTAATTCTGTCTAACAATAACAAGAAATTTATGCGTTATTATCCTTTTGATTGACTAAACTCAAAATTTAACTTTTTAAAATAGTGTGTTTAAACCATGCTATATCAAAACTCAATTGTTTGATACTGTATGTTCAAAGCTTTTTCTCTTGATTCATTTGTTATATTAAAAAACACCAAAATTTATTACCTACAATATAGATATACAACTTTTGTTTGCTATCAGAACCTTGTAGATCTTATCAAAACTAAAAGTTACACCTTTTTTTCGTAGAATAAAGCATTATTTTTAATTTTATTGTAGCCTCAAAGAATTATGTATTATATCAAATATTGATATTATATTGTATTATTTTATTATAAAATACTTTTACTCAAAAAAATTTATATACATTTAGATTCACAACTATTTTCGCTCTTTTTTTCTATATTACATACGTACAGAACTTGCGTAGATCAGGAAAGTAATAGAATATTATATACTCAAGTTGTATTAAACTAATTGTATTATTTTATTACAAAACTACTTTTTACTTAGATTCACAACTATTATCGCTCTTTTTTTTCAATATACTATATTCAAGTTGCATTAAACTAACTATTACATTATTTATTCGTTAGGTATCATAGACATTAATCATTCCTCTTTGGCCTTTCTATCTTGTAACTTTTTACAAGTTTTAATTCTCTGAAGCCTTTCAAAACTAAAAGCCTTGAAAAGAATGTCTGTAAGAGCTCAA